TAATGGCACTGGCGTCCAACCTAATAGCAATGGCTTCGAACCTAATAACAATGGCGTCCAACCTAAGAGCGATGGCCTCCAACCTAAGAGCGATGGTCTCCAACCTCAGACCGATGGGGCCTCAAACCTAAGAGCGATGGCCTCCAACCTAAGAGCGATAGCCTCAAACCTAAAAGCGATGGCCTGCAACCTAAGAGCGATGGTCTCCAACCTCAGACCGATGGCCTCCAGCCTCAGAGCGTTGGCCTCCAACCTAAAAGCGTTGGCCTCCAACCTAAGAGCGATGGCCTCCAACCTAAGCGATGGCCTCCAACCTAGTAGCGAAGGTGTTTGGAGCAGGTGACTGGGCGAATCTGGGTGACTGGAGGACTACCCTCGCGTTCCGCCAGAGGCACGTCGGAGACGGCGCGCGGAGAGGCGCTCAGCCTCCGGCCTTAGAGAAGGCGGAATTCACCGAGAAGGAATGTGCAGCACAAAACATGGAACACATCCCAAAAGATCCCAAAAGTTCCCTCAAACATCCAGCAAACTCGATCTGGGTCTGAAAATCGACCTCTCATGGCAGTTTTGCTGCTTGGAGCCTGTCAAATCCACAGCTTCTCAGATTCCGAGGTCGTGTCGGCTGTGCGGCGGGCCTCCTTGGTCTGGCGGGGGCAGCGTCCGGATTGGCCGTGCCGGGAGGCCAAGGTCCTAAGTTCGGCCCACACGAAACCATTTACATCAAGTAGGATGTCATTATAAAATGTCGGTCCTTTGCCTCTATAAACTGGAAAACCGCAGGCCAAGCAGATGTTCGTGGGGTATGTTGAAACCATTTACATCGAGATTCTCAGAGATCTCTTTGCACCCCCTGGAGGGCCTCCGAGCCGTGAGCCACGCAGCTGCGTGTCCCGTTGAAAGGAAGGTATAGAATGATTGAGATCAATCTAACTGTTCCCTGACGGGGAAGTACATGAGATTTCATCCCACAAAACCCGCAAACATGTTGACGACCCTTTTTGGCAAAGCATCATAAGACATCAACCACCAGGGACAACCACTATTGACTATAGTCACTATATTGTCAACCCCCAAAAGATGTTGGGCGTTTGAGTGTTGACATGTATTGACCACATGCCCAACCACTATGGTCAACCCCCAGAGCTGGGAGTGCTGCTGCACCAAGGGGAAGCCGCCGGGCGCCACGCGCGCCGCGCGTACGGCGCTGTGCTGAGGCGGCGGTTCGGTAGAGACTGCACGTTTTAGTGATCTTTTGAGCAATGGCTGTGCTTGTTGATGTTTTTATACATATTCAAAAAAGCACCATCAATGCAGCAATCGAGCAGCAAGCAAAGTTTGGGCAGTGGCACTGCAACATGAACTGAAACGGCATGAAATGGCTATCTTTCATAGCCTCACTGATGCGACGTCTCAGGGAATGGATCCCAAAGGAATCTTATATCTTAGGGGACCGAAGCTTCCCAAATGTCTTACTAGGCATGAGGTGTCAGTAGCTGGAAGGTTGATTCCAAAGATGGGGCCACGAGGCGTCACAGGCAGAAGATAGACTTCGAAGAACCCCTGAAGATAGATGCCTACCTGAGATGAAGCGCTTTTTGGAGGGATTGGCTTTTTGGAAGAATGACCACAGATGGCCTTCAGAGTGGTCTCCAGATCACGACCTCTGAGATGGGGACAGATATACAGACAGAACCACCGCGGAGGGCTCCTGCAGAACCACCGCGGAGGGCTCCGGGCCATTTCCGGGGATGAGTCAACACGACCTCACAATGGCAATGCGCCTGTGGCAGGATGGCCTGTGGCAGCCGTCTCTTGCGCCATGTTTGATGTTTGTGGGAAAAAGCCACGTCTTAGGAATGGGGTCTTAGGGCATGGAGTTGGTGCGGTCTTTGTTGCTCCCCCAAATTAGCACTGGAAACAAAAAGAACAGGAAGGAGAGGGTGGGTATGAGACTCCATATCTCAATCAGGTGAATCAACTGTCGGAAGAGAGGACCCGGGCGGCTGTGGCCCCACGGACCCGCGGGACCTCATGAGGATGTGAACCCGGACATGAAACCTGCTTGAGAGGATACAGACTCAAGATGCTCAGGTTCTGGGTACTATGCCAGCCCCTGAAAGGTTTCCGATTTGAGGTTGTGCGGCCCTTGCTCAGGCTGAGAGCCAAGACCTTCATTACACGGCATGCCGTTGCAAAATTGTTGCAAACGGTTCTTGAGCTCCAAAGCACATGTTTCAATCGATGTCACGCTTGTAAAGGATCTACTTTTTGCCTTCAACGATCAAGGTATCTCCTTCCCAACACAATGATGGGAAGGCCTGGGCATGTCTAGGATAGAAATGTGACTGCTCCTGGGGCGCGTGCCAGGCGCTTGACTGGTTGGACGCCAGATGATTTGGCAGTGGCTTGGCGCAACTATCAATCAAAGACTTTGGCAAATGTCATGTTGCATCTTGGAAAATACACCCCTGCACACTGGAATGAATCTGGCCGGAACCATATTCTGACACTGTCCGAAAGCCTCTATGGCAAGAAGGACATATTTTCATATCGAACTTGTGGTTCGAAAGAATCCCCTCCCGTATCCTGCCTTGATAGACCATACTTGCGCGATCTTGGAGGATTATGAGGTTGTGCCGTGCCGTTTCAACGTTTCGGCCTGGCCTTTCACGGTTCTGAACGCATTGGAGTCGACCAGTCCTGCACGGGTTGTGCCCATGCAGAGTGGTCCATTCCGTCGCCCAGGCCGAGAGGCAGCGCGCCATGGCCATGCCAGATGCGCCTGGCTATTCAGGGCCTGGCAACCGAGACGGGAAGCCGCGTTGGAGAATGGTTCTCAGTGCAAAGCACGGGAACAAACACCAGCCAACTAATATATGAAAACAAAACCAAGATACCCTAGTGGTCGAGTGGTCCTCCCATGTTTGATGTGCAATTTTGTCTAAAGGGAAACTGGGGGAGTTACTCGTAGCAATTGTGAGGCTTTCTGTTTTGCGTGATGTTGGGTGTCCGGAAATCCGAATCGCGGCAGCTTGTGCCGGACATTGGCGACTTTGGGGGGTTCAACTCCATCCAGGGTTCCTGTTCAATTCCATTCGGTTCAATCACCTTCGATTTCGCCCAGCGCTCCGAGCCCTGCTCTTGAACTGAAGCGCTCCATAGCGCCTCTCGGCTGCCCACCGGTGACGCCTCCACTCCTGGGTGAAAAGCGACGCGACCGGTGAAGGAGCAGCGTCCGGGGGGAAAAGCAGCTGCCGCGAAATGCCATGGAAAGCCATGCCATGGGGCCGGAGGACGTCGTTACCGTTTTTTCATGAAGTTCGCTAATAGTAGCTTTCGATCTAGATGTAGCTAGCTGTAGAATCTTGCATACAATATCATACAACTATACTTAATGCCATAGATCCATATAGTATTATAGCTTTGCCAAACGCCCAAGCACCGCCAAGCCGCAGGGACATGATGACTGGGCCCGTACTGCTGCAGTTTTTCAGAGCTGGACCTGAAACGGATTTCTATCACACTGGCCTTTGGGACTGTAGTTTGATGGTTCTTCTTTGTTTGAGATTCCCTTCGAGGGGATGGGCTGTGTGCATTAGTGTGCATGATTTTTTCAGGGCGGCATTGGCTTTTGCGATTTAGAGTCTTACTACCCAACATGTCAAACATCCTGTGCTATCGGCACCACAGGGGAGTGAGACCATATTTGGACAGCCACCGAAACAGGCGGTCAGCATTGCCCAGACGCTCATGGACCATGGACCCTCATATGGAGGGGTCTGGGGTCAAACCAATCCCTACATTTTGAGGGACCAAGGGTTGTTTGGAGCGTTTGGGTGCTAAGTATTTGCTAAGAGAAGTTCTCTTCTGGTCCGGTCAGTGTGATTTCCACGCTTGACCGGTGCAGTCTTCATTTCTCAATCGACCGAGTGCAGGCCACGCTACACAGGTGCTGCAAGCCTCACGGACGCCTTCATTAATGCCGATGCCTGAGAGAGACTGTGACAGGTGAGTTGGTATGATTGATTTCGCAACGGGTGGTTGGTGGACCGTGGGTGAGGACATTGTGTGTGTTTTTTTTCCACACCCAAGTGACCACCATTGTCTACAGAAGGGTTTGTTGTGGACCAGTGCAAGGACAAACGGGCTTTTGCATAAGAACAGCTGTTTGCCCGAATGACAGAAAATGACCGGAATAAAATCAATATAATATATTTCATTTTTACCAATCTTTACCGGTTTCTTGCAAAATCAGCAGTTCTACTGTATCTCCGCCTGCCTTGGGAGCTTGGATTTGATGTGACGGCCCGTGGCATGCCTTGCTCCCTCGCGCTTTGTCAGGGCATGATCTCTGCACAAGAGCAGGGTCAGCTGCTGCCAAAGAAGGAGTGGAGTATCGCTGCTTGAGCAAATGCCACATGACTCGCATGACACGTGGAAGTGGCAAGGTAGTGTCAAGGTTTCGTGTTGCGCTGTATCATCCCAAGTGGACATTGAAGAAGCACTCAATATAGAGGCCCTGGAAGACGCGTGTTGCATTTACTCTATGTGTCATGCAACTGTTGAAGTTCAAGTGAACATCAATTTCAAGATGGGCAGGTCTTGCAGGGTACGTGTTCCAATCATTTTCCTAATTTAATTATTGATGGTTTTTCTTTCCAGAATCACTCTTTCTTGGATGCCGATCTGAAAAAAATCTGAACATTTGTTTTGCTCCGTTGGTCGTTTTTGTTTCCTTCTATCATTGCTTGTTGTGCTTCTTTGGCTTTCTTGCTTACTCAGCCTTTCTTTGTGCACTCTTCTTCCAAATGAAGGAGGGCACCTCAGGGCACTTCAGGGCACGTGAGGAGGGCACCTGAGGGCGGGTGGCGACGTCCCGCTTCGACAGGATGCTTACCTCATGGTGTTGGATATCATCGACGTGTTGCGGGCCGAGCAGACCATGGGGCAGGCGAGGAGATGGAGAGACGGAATTGGCTAAGAGTTTTGAGAGAGAGGCTGGGTCAATGGACCACATCAGATGGCTGGTGTGGGCTTGTAGCAGCATGTGGTGACTCCAAGGCAGGATCCTGGATCCTTTTCTGAGACCAACCGAACCCGTGTAGGAAATGTTGTTGAACCTGTCCATTGCGGCATACAGCCAATCAAGATTAGCTACAAACTAAACAGAACTCCCACTAGTAGACCAATCTACTAAAGAGCTCATACAAAATCATACAAACCAATCATCGCCATAAACATAAATAATACATACAATATTATAATACAATCATATATATTTCTTAATTGTTACACTCCCAAGGATGACATGAGCTGGCCTTGATTGGAATTGATGAGCGCTTAAGACAGGAAACTCTTGCAATATCTGGGAATATGTTGGATGTAACAGGCAATTATGTTTTTTGGGGATCTGATCTACACAACTCTTCAACTGGGCTGGGCTCTTGGAGCTTCAGAAGTTACATAGCCTTGTGGGTACAGGGACGACATGCAACCACACAGTCGAACAGAAGTTACACACAAGGGCGCAGTTCACTGTGGTGGAATCCTCTTCGTAATCCCGCAGTCAAACAAAAACATGGCTAGCACTAAGTGAGGAGCTGTGGACGTACCCAAACTCTCCACACGACTGGTATATGACTTCCGATCAGCTGCGGTGGAATGTATTGAAAAACGGGGTCAGTGTGTAGAAAACTCGGTAACTTGTGGCGTCCATCTTCCCATTCCAATCGTCTTGGGGTGATTTGTCCCATGCATTTCCTTTACTCAGTGTACCTATGGTGATTACTTTGGGGTGTCCCAGTAAACCTATAACAGTAACAGTACACCTATAACCTATAACAGTACACCTATACTCAGTAAACCTATAACAGTCGGTAAAGAAAAACATCACTGTTTTAGAGATGGAAAGGCCTGCAAGTAACTAGGCCCCATCGTCCAAAACGGGCCCAGAAATTAGGATATACCGTTGATATACCCAAGTATGCCAATGTATGCCATATATGCCTACATTGACCCCCAAAACCACCCCAATGTAGGTAAATATACCATACATGGAGTGTCTGGGGTTGATATACCCAATGATTACTCTAGGTGGTACCACCAGAGACCTTGGCGACCGTGGCCACCGGTCCAACCTATGTCACGCAGCCGAGCGTGGAGGTCTCCATCCCCGATGGAGGTCATTTGACCGTGGTCGGGGAGCCCGGCCGTGGTGCCGTGGTCAACCGTGGTCAATTGAAATGCAGCAACGATCAACAAGGCAGCTGGTTGGTAACTGGGTTTGGTTCATCAAGTGTCTCTCCCCCAAAAAAAGGATCACCGTTTTTCCCAAAGGGAGCATCCAAAATCCGACATCGGGATGGAACGAACCGTTTGCTGTTCGGATCGGCATTTGTTTCCGACCTGGGAGAACTCGGTGGAAGAATTTACATCAGATGCAGTGGTCCGATTCTCCACATGGCTGGAAGCACTTGCTTGGTTTGGGGTTTGATCTATAAGTCTAGCTTGCAGGCATTCTCAGAAGGTAGCTTCAAAGAAAGGCAGCGAAAAGAGTACTTTAATAGCAGAAATCCAGTTCGACTTCTTTGCACTGGTCCCATAATAGATTGATATATAGAACAGGTATGAAAGGTCCAGGAATTCAGATCTTCATCAACTTGGGAGAAATGAGATCTAGAGGCTGTTCCGGATCTCAGAGCATTTTTAAGAATGAAAGGCTTCCGTTGATTCCTGCGAGCTCCATCAGAGGTTTCCCCACATGGTTCACCATGTTTGAGGCTAGTAAAGGTTAGTTGTAACGCCCACAATTGCAGGGCAAGCCTCAAACTGCAAAGGATGTCACACTTGCAATTGAGCAAGTGAACTGAATCTCATTGGCTGGAGAAAAAGACCAGGGGCAGGGGCTCATTCTCTCATCGCTGTTCATTCGTTCATCTCTCTTTGCCATTCTCTTGATGTGGTACAACCACCTACCCAGTGGGTCACTGGAGGCTTTGAGGGATTCGTTTCCCCGGACCGGTGGAGAGAAAACCATGGGAGATCTTCCAGCTCCTGAAGGTCGGAATTCAGCTCCGAAACTCTTCAGAACTCCGATCAGGTGGGCGACCTCCACGGGCAGTACTGGGATTTCATGAACATCCTCAGCTTGGTGGGGAGCGAGAGTCGAAACCGAGCTTCGAACGGAGTGGGGCGACGTTGGGGACCTTGGGAGGAGTGGGCGAGTTGGGGAGGAATGAGAGGTCATCGAATCGATCATTCGGATAAGTATGGATAAGTATATACTAGGACCCACCAGGGGTGGTTAATGGACACCCCTCAACCTCTAAGGCTATGAAAAAAAACAGGTTAAGGTCCAAAAGCAAGGGAAATATAGTTTTAGAAAAAAAATGTAAACACATGTAAGAAAAAATGTGATTGCAAAAATCAAATGTACAAAACAAACGTGATTTCCAAAATATGAGTTGAAAAAGCTTATGTAAAAAATGTGAAACAAACATGAAAGCAGAGGCATATATTGTAATTATACATCACATGCAAGATACACAGATCAAAAGAACGTAAAACAGCAACAAAAGGCAAGACGTTGAAAAGTACAAAAGAAACATACGCATCATACAAAGCAAACTCAAAGAGATTTAGATAAAATAGCAAAAACCGCATACAAACAAAGACGAACATGCACATTACATACAAAGCTGCAGTGCAAAACCAAGAGCAACACGATGCAAATCTAGCAAAACAAGTAGCATCTGAATATGTTAACATCATATGTGTGTTTTTAATGTTTTTTGTTGCACTTGTCTTTTGATGACCTATTTATGACATCACATGTTTAATACACTGTATGCACAACAAAAATGTTTGCAAAAGTCTGTGTAAGCCTCACTTTTTTTCATAGCTCTAAGGGCCTATCAATAGACACCCCGTAAAGGGGGTCCTGGTAGTAGGTTCATGCGTTTGACATGTGAGGGTGTGTGAGGGCGTCACTCATCCTCATCCACAGGGCCAAAGATCTACCCAGATGAATCCAAATCGTAACATCACCCATACTTGTGGCTCGATGAAATGACTATCATTTGCACCTATGAAATGACCAAGCCGCACATGCATTTCATGAACAAGTAAGGAGGATATCGTCACCACATTCTGGGTCCTTCCGCCTTCTGTGCACCTCGATCGTCCGCCCCTCAAGAACGCGCCCCAAACTCTTGCGCGCCGGACATCGTGGCTTGACCTCTCGCGCTTCTCGCCTTTCAGACCGGGAAGCCCTCGGCCAACACGCCCTTCATCTTCAACGGCGACTTTGTGGACCGAGGCTCTTGGTCCATCGAGGCGCGGGGACAGTCTGAGTCGGTGAAGGACACACGAGACACGGCGACCTGAGCACCAGGGCATGGGTGTGTAGCTCAAAATAGGGAGACCTCAAAGAGGCGTTCCGAAGCCCCTCGAAAACCACATAAGACCAGCCAAAACCCATTTGGTTGGGGATCTCCCAGTAACATGCACACCCATATATCACAATTGTGACACTTGTATTTATAGATAACATGACAAGAGCTTACAGGTGTTTTGTGGGGGAAATCGCTTGCTTCCTGGCTAGCTTCTAATCTTCAAGCAAATGACAGTAGTTTTGAGATGAGGTTGGAAGCATCATCGAGCAATCTATTTCCACACAGTATCCTTCATTAATAACCTTCATATGCCTTTACAGATCTCAGATACAGGCATCCATAGAGTATCACATGTTTTAAACTACATGCGGTTCAACCCCCACTCACTTGGTGGTTCCCACCATGGCTCCCTGGCTGTGACCCTCATTTCTCTTCCCTCCAGACGTCCCTCTTAGCTCCAGGCTTCGCACCCTCGGGGGGTCGCGCGAGCGAAGCCGCGATGGCAGGTGGTCCTGACCATCTTCGCCTTGAAGCTGAAGGACCTGAAACGTCGGGAGATGGACCGGAGTAGGTGGTGGACTGGAGGAAAAAAGGCAGCTGGGGCCTCTTCCTTGGGTGGCTTCATAGGAATTGGGTGTTCTTTTTTTGGATTGGTTCAGGGGGAAAGTAGAAGGAAGGTTTGCAATGGACAAAGCAGACTTAAACAGGTAAACAGGGTTGGCTGGGGTTTGGGATGGTTTGGGTGCCTTTTTGTTTCTACATTTTTCTACCATCAACCAAGGACGTGCTGTGGGAATTGATTTGCAAACTCTGGTGTTGAGATGCCCAGCGAAGATTCCCGGACTGTTTTATTAAATTTCACGTGATAGTAACTGCTGGTGTTTTTACTTGTGGGCGGAGGCTTTGGCGAGTTCGTGATGCAAGAGATGTAAGCAGAACCTATTTCGGCATCACTTGCATCGTGAAGTTGGGGTCATCAGGACAAAGCTTCTTTCTTTTAATCCAAGGCGCTTCTGGAGCTTGTCCTCCAGTTGACCAAATGGGGTTTCCAAAAAGCACAACCGCGGTGGATGCTCCGCACGCGTGGTTCACGCCGTTTGGACCACGACCCGGGGGATCCGTGCTACACAGCGCCTCACGGGGGATCCGTGCGTCAACGGGGCCGTCTTCCGCTCTGAGAACTGCCAGGACCCCGGGGCCGTCTTCCTGAACCGTGGCAATCACGAGATGTTGGAGACCAACATCCTGTGCCAGGGACCGGCCGCAGCGTTGAGAAACCCGTGGGTTCTCTGATTTTGAGACTGGCTCGTGCAAACTTGTGTTGTTGATTTTTTTCCTTGGTGTTCTGTTTGGTGTAAGTAGCGGTGCTAAGGACAATGACAAATTTAATGTTAGAGTTGTTTTGGAAGTCCTTTTCCAAAGTCTGATTGATTGAAGAAACACGAACCTGGTTTACCACATGGGCTCGCCCTCATGATAGAATCATGCCGACTGATAGCTTTTCCAAACCATTGGATCAATTGGACCTCTCCATGGAAGGCCTCCATTTTACCATGTTTTACACGTTCGAAGAGGGCGGAAGAGGGTACGGTATTGATCATCGTTCGCCTTTGGATCGTAGGGTTCCCTCTGACCAAAGGGGATGCGCGGTCTCAGGTGACTGGACGGTCGGAGTGTTCATCTCTGACTCTTTAAAGACCAATTGAACGAGGTCGACGTTTCGGTTCTACGTTTGTGTTGAAACACCCATGTTTAACGAGGTCATTGACTTGGAGGGGACAAATCAGGGGAATGGTGACCATTTGAAACATGAGGGCTAGGATCAGACGATGACCAAAGCTAGGGCCCCTCCAAGTCTAAGTTGGTACAGTAGAGATTCTGTGGTGTTTGCAGGTATGGCTTCTGTGGCGAATGCGGAGCCAAGTATGCCAGGGCCTAAGGACTCGCAAGAGTACTCGCAAGTTTTCGAAGAAAATAAATGCGGTGAGACGCAAAGACGACAAGAAGTGCCGACCAAATTACATCTCATTTGTTACTTTGCATCCAAGTCTTTGAGTCCCAAGCAGGCGAAGATTATTTCGGTGTTCACTCTCTCCCTCTCTCCATTGAATACGTTGTGGAGAAGATGTATTTGGTTCAAGTTTGCCCCAATTTGACAAGTTCTATAGAACAAAGAAATCATTTGCTTTGGTGTTTTTGTGGATTTTGACTCGTTTGGAAACCAGCTGTTGAGACCAAGAACAAACACAAATTGAGTTTAAATTGAGGTGTGAAAGAGGACCTTCAGAAGGGCTAGGCTAGACTTTCACCGTTTCTGATTTTTGGTCGGGGGCAACACAGAGTCCAAGGATTCCTTGCCATCGACATACTTTGACCCGAATGGCTCTTCTTGCAGCAATTGGATAACACGTGAATCCTCAGATGTGGCACGTGTTGTCCGCTCAGGATATGGATCTCTTCAACCTCTTCTCTGAGGCCCTGCCTGCTGGAGCTCTCTTTTGGTGTTACGCCAGTGCGCGTTGTTCATGTTTATTTTTTCAGTTACGCCGCACGACGTTTGAGAAGACATGGACCATCGTGACAGGATCGTCTGTTCCACCACCGCTGACCATGGCCTCATCCCGGTGGCTGCGAGTCTGACCTCGCCCAAGAGTCTGACCTCGCCTTCGTATAGACAACAAGTAAGATTCAGTCACACCCCTCAGCTGAAAAGAGTTCCAGCTGATGCATGCAGAATGTGTTTTTGTGCGACTGCAGGAGGTGGAATAAGGTTCTAAGGCTTCTAAGGTAGAAACCAGTGGCTTTTGGGTTTCCACCTTCGCATTTATCTTGGGTATGAAGCCATAGCAACCCACTTTGCATGGCTTGACACCCAAGCAACCAGATCCTTGCAATGGCTGCACTATATAACTGATGGACTGCTTGCAAAGAGGAATCATCTGCGTGTTTGCTCCTCTTTTGTCACACTTCGAACTTGGATTTTCAGTTAATGCAAGTATCACGTTGGGAAGGAAGGTGAGGGAAACGTAAGGTGAAAGGTCAGCGCAACTGAAATGTTTAACAATCTGTTCACTCATCTGCAGAAGCGCGGCTGAACGTCGGCGGCTGAAGGCAGCGGTGGGAAAACCTGTTTGGGGGTGGTAGCATGAAGGACCATGAAAGCAAACCGATCAGATTGGACAGCTTGTGCAAAAGTTGGTCGCAGGTACACACAGTTGATCAGACTGTGCATCCACCGACAAGCATAGCTTTGTTAGCCAGCGTTTGCTTGTCGGCCGCTGGCCCCCTGCTTGCGAAAGGTGGTGGTGGAAAACCCTTTGTCCAGGGGTGGACACACACACACACACTGCCAGTCTCCTCATGGGGTCCTTGAGAAACAGCCAACCCGGCAGGCTTTCAGAAACCTGCCCTTGGCGCACCTGGTTGACAACAAGGTGCCTGCTCCGTTGCGCATCCGAATTCCTTCCGCCTACCGGAGATCGGGACGTCGGCCGTCGAGACTCCGGAGAACACCGTGGCGGAGCGGAGAACACCTCTCCCGCTGAACGGTGGAAAAGGGCACCGTGTTCGAAGCAGGCGAAGGACCTCGCTGCATCGCCCAGTCGAACCCCCCCGGTGTTTTTCGGATGTTGCCAGTTGCGTTGCACAAAAGAAGAAAGAAGGCAAACGCAAAGCCATGACCTTTGCCTTTGCCCTCCGCCTTGCCTTTGCCCCGCTGACGAGGTGCTGGTCTTGCATGGCGGCCTCCCAGGCAGGGCGGACGTGGGACGTGGGGAAGATCAGCAGAAAGATATAGGAATAAGATGAATCTCTGTAGAAGTAGAACTCTATTCCAGCACCACCCAAAGGGTGGTTTGTAGACCCCCCTGAAGATGTATTTTGTATCTAAGAACCATCCCTTGGGTGGTATGTTGCATGATTTTGTGTCAATTATGTTTCTGCCTTCTTATCCACATTTGCCCCCCAGAGCAGACAGGTCCATAGTTGGAAGGTGCAGGGTATAGTTCTATTTTCTAGTGGGCTCTGATACCACGAAGTCGGCCATCGGGATATCAGATCTTTAGATCAGAAGAGCTGTGGTTTTGCGGGCCCAGGTGATTCTGATAATTTGACTTGAATATCCCAGACACTCCATGTATGGCATATTTACCTACATTGGGGTGGTGCCAGAGGGGTCAATGTGGGCATATATGGCAGTCCCATCGGTCGTGTCTGGGTATAACTTCAACATCACCGGCCAGTTGTTGATTTACATGGATTGGAGTTGGAGTGAGACCGTTCCCGGACCGTTCCCCTCGTTCCCTCAACATGCAGGCATCATGCACCAAGGTCTCGCCTCACCCTCCCAAGTCTCTGCCACCCTACAGAGGTAGCCAGTGACCTGAACTAGGACCCTACAGTCTAGAGTCTAGAGTCTAGTCCATACCCTACTAGGACCCCTGTACCTATAGGATAGTCTAGAGTCTATAGGGTTTTTCAACGGAGCGACATCTGCCAGGGCCTGACCCACGGATTTGGATGCCTGGGCAGACGTCCCTTGGCTGGAGCGACGCACCGAGCGAGTGGAGTTCGATCCAGGCGGCGTTTTGGACGAAGTGGGCCCGGATGAGCCTGCGAAAGAAAGAAACACATCTCATGGAGCTACCAGGTAGATCGGAACCGTGTCCATTGGACGCCCCTTAAGCTAAAATCCATTGGACACCCCTTTAGAAATCTATAGATTCAAGATACACAGCGTTGGAGAAAGCCACTGGCAAGCGTCGCCGGCTTTTGGCAGCCACTTTAGTTGGAGGTGAGGTGCCCCTGGAGCCATGGGAGATACTGGAGACCCACTAGACTCCAGACACCGGGATGCTCGACCTCACCGGATCCTGATCCGGAGCGCACCGGGACGATCGGTCCGAGGCACGATCCAACGGATGCGATTCCCATGACGCCCTTGCCATCCCTTCAGGTGCGTTTCCTTGCAGTGTTGTGCTGCGCAGCTGATGGTGCGTGTTTTGGGGGTATTGTTTTTTCTTTCTCGAGGCGAGAGAGGTGTATATAGATTTGGGGTCGATGGACAAGCATCATTTGGGGTGGAAGAGGAAGATTTTGGACGGTTTGAGATAGGTGGCTCATTTTGTTCCAAGCGTTTGAGAACTGAAGGAAATTGCCTATCCCTGCCACCCAGCCTGATCGAGATATCGATTTTCTTGCGTTTCTGGGGTTGATATAGATTCAGGTGTTCATTCTGTGCCGAGTGACAAAAGATGCCACAAGTTCAAAATGTTCTTTGCTGGAGTTCTTCGTGACCCCATTAGGTGGGGATCCGTTTCCTCGGTTTCCCAGACCTGGAATTCAGCCTAAACCCTAAACCCATTCGAGACCATCATTTGAAGGAAGATGGACAGAGTTCGTGGGAAAGATCAATCCCTAGGGATCCACATACCTTCTCAGGAGGTCCTTGGGCCCTCCTGGCGCCTACATAAATGGTCTCCGTCCTCACCGTACCTGAGGTTCGGTACGAAAACGGATCCCTAGGGAATGATATCAATGCACATCAAGGCACGCACCATGAATCAGACCACAGTTGCATCAGCTGTGCCAGTTGCATCATCATCCATATTCATCCAGCCAGTTGCCTGTTGTGCCAGTTGCATCAGTTTGGAAGGAACATGAACAGCATGAACTGCCGCAGACGATCCGTCTCGGCGGAGGAGCTGGCGTCCGTGGATCGCTACCTGGAGATCACTCCAGAGTCGCAGGGATCCCCAGACCTTCCCGCGGCCACGGAAGAAGCGGGAAGCCGCCGCGTGGTCCGTTTCAGGGCACTGGGAAGCTCAGGGAGGCTCGGGGTAGCTTTGGGAGTCGTTCGGTCGTTGGCTTGTGCCAGGAGGAATGCCAAAGGTGGTGCGTAGTCCCCATCCTAGCAATATCCTACATAGACATAGATCATTATAACTAGTTCTGGGGTGCTGGTTTCCGAGGGTGAGGATTGATCTTGTAGTGCAAAACTCTCCAATCATCTCACGTTTCGATTCCAAGAAACCATGTAACGCAGAACATGATTCCCCAAAAGCAGACATGATTTGGTCCTTGGAATCATTTAAGGAATCATTTCGATTTCATCTCAACAAAAAGAAAACAAACAGCCGGATTCCCCGGCCACATCTGAGCTCACGACGTCAGGTACGCGCAGTCCATCGGTCCAAGCACCTCCGAGAAGGAGGCAGCACGCCGACCGCTCCGAATCCGCTCCGAATCCGCGGCAGCACGGAACCTCCGTCCGTTCCTCGGCGCGATCGTCCGATCTCGTCGCGACTCTCTGAAGGATGTGCAGTTGAAGAATGAAGATGGAAAGAACCAACAGAGGTGAATAGCGACCTGAACGTTCGGACCCGTAACCCTGGGTACCGAACTGGGATAGCCTAGTTCGGCGTTCTGAAAAACCTCTGTTGGAATAACCCGTCATCCATGGAAGATCAAGGAACAGTTAGCAGGGACTGATGGATCCAGTTCAGCGCGAAAGTGACGAAAAGTACCAACAGTTATATAGCCTTGTGTGTCATAACAGACCAAAACCATCCAAAGCATGCTCTTATGTCAACTGTGCTGACCAACATCTGCATATACTGTCAGATACGGTTTGTTTGTTGTCCTCTACCAGCAAGTTCCAACAGGTCAAGTCCAAAGACCCAACAGGTCAAGTCGAAAGACCCAACAGGTCAAGTGCAAAGACCCAACAGGTCAAGTCCAAAGACCCTTCATTCAAACTTTTGGATACCCAGGTAGCTGAGTACGTAGCTGGCACCAGGTCAGGTAGCTGCTGGAGCCTCTCTAAGACGTCGTCGTTCCAGGTGAACGACATGCGGCGCCTCATCGACATCCTTTGGGGCGATCCTCGAGGTGGTGGTGGGCCGCGGCCTTGGCGGATTTCAGCCAGAGAAAGTCGTCCTTGTTACTAGGAGAGAGGAGCTACTCCTAGTAATGCCCAAGGAGCTACGAATGTAGCTTCTTGTTCCTAGTAGTCATGCCCTCGTTACTAGTAGCGATGCACCTTGTTACTAGTAGCTTCTTGTTACTAGTAGTAATGCCAAGAGCTACGAACGTAGCGTCCTGGACCCGAACACAAAACAAGCACTGAAAAGAGTTGATCAATGAATGACATGTCAGTGAATATCCCAAAATCTGAGGTCTTATTCTGGGGTGTTTAAAGTGTGTGTGGCCGTGGCCATGCCCAATCGGAGGCCCACTGAATGGAAGCAGACATGACTGACATCGGTTGATGATCTGATCTTACAAACGAGTTGGATTGAGTTTGACAACCTGCAGTTCCCCCAACAATCACAATGGTATATAGCTCAATGGCCACTGAGAGCTTTCGCATGTACCGTACGTGATTCAACTACCTCCTCAAAGGATCGTTTGACCTGCCAAACTCGTCCAACCACCTCAGAAGGTATGTCGTTTCCCTGTATAATTATATATTATATAAATTACATATAAAAAACATAATTGAAACCTTTCTGCAGTTCAGCTGGTTCAGGTATGGACCTTCCTACCGAAAAGGCAAGGGTGTCTACATGTTTGGTGCGGACCTCAGGCTCTTTCTTCCGCTCGGGCGACGGAAGGACCGCAGGACCGTCTCCAGAAAATGCCCATGTAAAACTGTAAAACCATGTAAAGCCTTGGTTTTATGTAGAACATATCCATGGTGTTATGTAGACTTCAGTGGTGGTTGAAGTATCCTGGGTGGCACTGGGTGGGTTGCCAGTGGGTCATGTAGACTCCAGTAGTTGAAATATCCTACAATATCATCCAAGAGTCTACATGACCACTGGCACGCCCAGCTCCCGTACGGCTGAGTCTACATGCTCAGCTCGTGGGGAGCTTCCGTTTCGGTTTTTGGTGCCCGTCGATCTCGCTTTTTCGACGTCCCACAGCGACAGCCAGAGATGTAGAACACATGTGACATGATGTAAGTACCCTGCATGAATCAGTGACCTGCAGGTGTTTTTGAGTGAGGGCATTGAAACATATTGAAACGGGTATTTTGGGACCCAACCCGCTTGCCCAGGCAGAGTTTGGCATAAATCCACACTCCTTTTCCCACCTCTCCTGACTCCTCCTTCAAGTCTGCCAACTGCCAAGTCTGGTGTCTGCCAGGTCCTGATGTGACAGAGACCTTCTGCCAGCAGAACAACCTGCAGTGTGTGATCAGATCACACGAGGTGATTGAAGGGGATGTCCGTTCATCTTCCCCTACGGATCTCCGTCCTCACCGTACCTGAGGTCCGGTACGAAAACGGATCCCTAGGGTTCAGATTTCAGAGGTGGACGATCCTGTGGATGTTGTCCCACCTTCTCCCGGGACCCCGGGACGATCTTGGTTAGGGGTTGGGGGAGGCAGCTTCAGGCTTGGCATCACTGGCATCACTTCTTGGAGCTTGCTGGAGGAGACTTGGAACCTTTGGACCCTCGAAACGCATATTCACAACATGTAGCACTCTGGAACAAAAGACCTCATTAGGTTGAGGAGACTACTCTTGAAGGATCTTGAAGGATCTTGGGGCTCGAAGTGGAGATGAGGGTCTTTACCGCCGCGTGACGGTCGTTGTTTTGCGAAACCTATTTGTTGGTTCAGGAGAACTTGGGGTGAACGAAACACTTTCGTCCAGTCACTCTGGCCTTTAAACATAAAGACATATTATACCCATCGTTTCAAGATTGCCCAAAAGCTTTCACCCGGTCGAGCTTTTCTATGTGATGCTCCGTCGGGTCTCCAAAAGGAGATGCCAACAAGCTCAATGTTTCCTCCACTGGAGCAAGAAAAAAACTGGAACTCCCAACTCCCAACCACTCACTTTTCCGGGGGTTTCTACAATACCTGTAGCATTCCTTTCCCAAAAAGGGGTGGGCGAATACGGAAATACGACTCTTGAAAATTCTTGAAACATGTTCGCTTTTGGTGTTCTCTTGTTTGCGCGGTTCACCATATCTTCATTTAAGGACTCCGCTTTTGGGGTATCTCTTTTTGCGTCCGCTTGTTGCGTGTTCAGGTGAAGGCCGACGGCTTCAGGCCCCGGAGTTGGGCAGGTGGGTCAATGGCTAGGGGTACCCCCAATAACCACCATTTCAGTAGGGATTCTCATTATAAACCAATGGTTGGGGGGTACCCCTAGCCATTGACAGAAAAGCCAAATGTGTGTTTTAACATGTTTTAACCGTTTCACCATCCATTACCCTCCCTCCAACTGCCCTAGGAAGTGAAGTTCACGCCATGAAGTGGTATTCGGATTTGAACTGTTTCAGGGAGTATAACCTTTTCAAACTCATACACCCGAAGAAGCACAACTACCACTTGCCAGAAAACGACTCATGAATTTGTTGTGTGTTTTCTTCAGGCATTTTTGGTGCCCTAATGCGCCTAATGTGCCCTAGATTTGTAATGATTTCTATACATTTGTGCATATTGTGAGCTGTCGATTCAATTACTGTATTTTTTGCTGCTCCAGAATTTGATGTTTTCCGTGTTTCGTTGTGCCCTGAATTGCGTGTTTTTTTTGTTTTTTGGTCTGCTCCCTTGTGTTCTTTTGTGCTCTTGATTGTGCTCAGTGTTCCAATCAAGAGCAAAACCACAAGCAAATTAGTCAAAGGATAGCCGAAACAATGGTTTGGGCCTCGTGTGGTTTCTCGTGGTCTGGCTGGTGCTGACCGTTGGCTGGATCCAACCAAGAGGGTGATGCGAAAAAACACGCCCCATGGTTAGACCATGTTAGACCTATTCTCCTTTACACACGCCCTAGGGCTCCAAGTGCTTCAGAAGGTATTTAAGATCCTCTAAACCCACCCTAAACGCCTTCTTAAACGGTACTTGGAGCCCTATAAAACAGGGGTTGATCCACCTTCCATGTTGGATTCGGAGCGCCTCTTGTTTTGGCTTCCGCCCGCTGCGACTTTGGCTTCAGCCCCATGTGCCAGGTGGGATCACAAGCAGCTCCTGAGTGTCTTCAGCGTGGGGCTTCCCGAGATGCCTGTGTCGAACCGGGCGTCGTGCAAACCACGCGTCGTGCCGCGGCGTCAAAGGCGTCGAAGCACGGCGGTTGGAGAGCCAGACACTCCGTGAAAGGGCCCTCCATGGAAGTGGACACTTGTCCTGGCCCAGGGCCCTTGTTGTGACTCGTTGTGTCGGTTGTTCTTCGCCACAAACAGTGAAAACAGGTGGAAGTTCCACTTCCATCTCTTCCATGCTTATGTCAGGGGAGTAGGCCACCACCCCACCCGGTCAAGAACTCGGCAGCCTCGTGATGGGAGCTGCGATGGAGCTGCGAGCGAGCTTGGAACGAGCTTCTCGCAGTCGACGGTCCAAATGGGGCTGGCTCGTCCGCGGGTGTGTCCGACGAGACGAATGATGGGAGGGTTTGGACCTGTTCCAGATTCATTCTTTGCTCATCTTTACTCCATGGTAGTCCTGTCACTACCGCATAGAGCACAGATCATTCCGCAAAAACGGCATGCAAGTGTCGGAAGACCCGGCTTTGATTCTTAAAGAATTGACCACTTGAGAGTGTGGCTGTAGACTTCTGATGTGTTATAGAGAAAGATCTCCTTCCATACACCACGCAATCACAGACCGTGCCGTGGGCGTGTTTGTTTTCCCCTCCCCTCCAAGAACTCCAGCTTCCGGGTTCTGAAGCAGGCTCCAAACTATTTGGACACCGGGAACAACAAAGGCGCTTTCTTGAAATTGACCAGGCGCGGCGGAGCAGAGCGGGTCCGGGGCCGGCGGTCCGGAACGACGCTGGAGACGGGGTGAGTGGTCGTGGGAAGCGTTGGAAGCTTAGTGTGGTGATGTGGGGGTTGAGGCTGAGCTTGGGTTTGCCCAGAAAATTGGAACTTGAACGCAGATTGTGGGTGAGATGTGGGGATGCTGGGTGAACTTAGACCATCTTAGACCCAAGTGTATCCGAATGAACATGAGGTTTCTTATTGCTTCTTTGTCTGTTCTTTCCTTTGCCCCTTGTAGGAGCGACCAGGGTTCAGCCCTGCTGGCAGGCTAAACGGCTCCAAGGGGATACAAACAATTATGAAACTATATATGAAGCGATGAACAATATGTCGCTATCATTATTCACTAAAAAGCATTAATATACATTGTAAAGGAATGTGATTTGACAGGAATGAATTATGAATATGTTACGAACAAACAGTCATGAACATGAACATGTTACGTTACAAACGCGTCATGAGTCATGAACAAACACTTAACAGTATTCCATTACAGTACTTCTCAGCAAAAATGTTTCCTGCTCTTGCATGCTCTTGCCACTACATACTGATACCCAATATCCACCTTCCCACTTTATCCAACTTGGTTTTGACAAGTCATCCCCCTCCTCAGCTTCACCCTTCCTATTCATGTTAATTCAACCCCATCTTCAGCCTCATGTTCATCCTGAGAAGGCAAAACCCTCCCAAAAGTGTTGTATTCAATGTGTGAAGATGAGGGAGATAAATGTAGATCATAATGGGGTGATTCTAAATGGGCTACGGCTTAATACTGGAACACTCACTTGCAGACTTTGCATCCCAACCCGGCCCCTTGACCATAAGACCGGTAGCGGTTGTCGACTGTACAAGGAAGTGCACATCGTTTTGATGCACACATGGAAGCGAATAGAACACACAATTGCGTTTGGATGAGTGGCGAAGAGGACACGAAGCGATCACAATGCTCACACTTTCGCATGAATTGACACCTGATGGTTTTGATCCGAGGGTTTATGGCGTCACGTTTTAATTCGCTTGCTGAGACCTCTAACAACAAATGGGTGAGGCGAGGAGAAAACATGGGTGGAACTCATTTGATCAACTTTTGAAGAGACTGCCTGAACCATTTTACACCCTGGAAGACTAACATGGACCCTGAAAACCACAGGTTGGTAGAGGAAAACACTCTTCCAGGGGGCCATTGTCAGGGTCTATGTTAGTTTTCGGGAGTGTAGTGCATGAGGCCAAACACCAAAAAAACGACAGAACCAGTGCCGGTGCACCTGTGTCACGCCGGTGGTGTTGGCCCAGTGATGTTCTCCCAGACGCGACCTGTCTGGGACTGCCATAGATGCCCCAGACAGACCCCCAGTCAACCACCCCTGGCCGTGCCACTCGGCAGTCCGGACTGGCAGTCCCAGACAGGTCGTGTCTGGGTATGGCAGTCCCATGGACCGCATGGACCGAACAGCCGCCGTGCCGTGTGAGGGCGCCGGACGGCACCGTGGGCATCGAGACGGTGAACTACAGCGCCGTGCCGCACCCTGACGTGCCGCCCATGAAGTGGCAGGCCGCGCCAGGGCCGAGCTGGATCTGGGAATCTGGGATCGGTGGAGCAGGGGGATCTGGGGATCAACCCGGTTTTGGGTTAGCGGACGAAAGTTGTTGTTGTTTTTCCACCATTGGGGAGAAGAATAGGAGAAGTATAGTACGTAGGATCATGATCCACTGGTTATCCAGTGGGGAGAAGAATGAAACAAGTACAAGTACGTAGTCCGTGCCCTGTACTCATGAGACAATGGAGGATCATGGAGGATCAGTGAGTGAATGATCCTTTCACTTTAAAGGAAACTAGATGTCAGACCGCTTCTTGGTCAATTTCAAAATGTGTCTTCTTCTGTGGCGTCCCTGTTGGCGACCGCTTCTTGGGCGTTCCTTTTTTTCTTCCGGTTCAAACCGGGAACATGCACTTCGCATCAATTTGCATCGTCGCCCCCTGTTCTGTTTTGCCGGCCAAACCGCCCATCGTCGCCTTTCAGGGATGGGTTTTTCCAGGCTGTTCGCAGATAGTACCTGGGACCTAGTCTGGGACCTCTGCAAATGAACAGAATTTACCACCAAGGAGGTCAACCTACCAAGGATTAGGGGTCCGGGTCTTGACCAACAGCCAAATCTCATGACTGGATTCATCCAGTCATGGACAAACTCGATTCCAAGATGATGAACAAATTCGACACTACGCGCCACGCAGCCGTAGCACCTGAAACCTTGAACTGCACAGAACTGAAGATGACCCTCCCCTGCCTGGCGAATCTCTATGTTTGGTCCCTTTTCAACACAGGTTTGCCTTTGATGGCTTGTGTTTTGATATTGGAACATGGGAAAACCGTCATCATGAGACTCCTGCCTCCAGATTGCTCCCGATTTGCTGCGGAACAGAGGAACATATCACCAACAACTACTCGCACCTCACTCGCCTGATGAGAAAAAAGGCCCTCTGAGGGGCCGGGAGAGACGGACTGGACTGGCTGAACCGGGCTGAAGACCGGCTTGATGAAGGGCTCGAACGGATTGGGGGGGTGGATGGGAATAGAATGGAATAGACATTTCGGCACAGAAAGGTATTGAACTGAAAAACCTCAGGCACTCCATCAATTTATGGCATCTTGATGTACATTCTGGGGGTTTGGAGGGATCAATTTGGGGCTATACTCCATACATGGAGTGTGGGATCAGCAAAAACAGCAGGGACTGCTAATGGTCAGATCCCTAGATGTTGACATTAAAAACCAGCGTCTTTAGGGGGGTTGGACGAGCGAAACAATCCATTCGTGGATTGAGAGTAGATGGCATGCCATCCTCAAGTTTGGTGGTTTATTTGGATCTCCATGGATCCCCTATACAAAAATATACAAAAAAGATTCCAAAAGGATTAAAAGGCACCTTAGGGTGCCAGTGCCAATCTAAACTCTGAGACCTCTGTAGTTGGAACACTCATGGAAACCTCAGCCCCCCCATGGATCTCCGTGGGTTTGCCACGCCGTTGATATCCAGGTGGGCGCTTCAAGCTTCGACGAGTCGCAGCCGGCATGGCTTATGACGATGTGTGTGCATGTGTGCATCAAGCAAGAGAGCCATGCTAATGCTAGCGTTTAGTTTTTTGGTTGCCATTCACTCTTGGTTCGAAGCGGCCAAAGCGACCCAATATAACCCTCCATTTCTGGGACTTTACCTCGTAGCCTTCTCCACACCTTTGACCCCACCCTTTCCCGGAACGGAAGGCGTTCCATCTCTTCTCGCGCACCACGCCGCGCCGCCGCGCCACGACGCACCCTGCGTGACGCGCCAGGTTCGGCGACAGCGACTTCGAGGGTCTCATGAACTTCGACGAGTGGGAGCCGGACGAGGCGCGCTCCGCGCTCCCGGACGGCGGAGACTTCGGGCAGTAGGAACGTCTACGGAGCCGCGGGGCTCCTGGCGCAGATCCGGTTCGGAGGTTAGAGTCACCCCAACCATCTCAGGAGGTGGGTGGAGCCCTAGGGATACAGTACTAGTGTTGAATTCAGCTGAGGCAGAGGCATTGTTCCAATCCAGGCTTTTGCGGAGACTGTGCTCTGGAGTTTGCAAGAAAGAGTTGGGGAGATGTGTCGCCAGTTTAGGCCGGATGCACATTCCCAGACACTCTATTTATGGAATCATCTCCGTACAGTGACTTTTGCACCGCGTATACACTATTATAGTGTCACTATCCCATGTTTCCCAACCTACCATATGTTCCGAAGAGGGGAGGATCGTCCCAGCACATGAGGACCGTCTTCGGAGGTCTTGGGAAGTGAGGCTTTGGAACCATTACGTGACTCGGTGTTCTACACTGCCGTTTGCACCTTCAGCAGCTTCAGCAAGCCCTGAAGTGGCAGTGGTTTGATCATGTTTGATCCGCCTGCGGGATGTGAGGAAAATGGTGCCAACCACCTCCACTTCCCTCCATGCGGACCCCATCGCAACCACCCAGACTTCGAGGAAGAGACGTATATTTTCCACCCTCACACTATCTCACACTGACTGATGTGTTCATGCGTCCTCTTAAAGTCTTAAAGATCACGACCCCATGAAGGGAACCAACATGATTCTTCAGAGCTTCACATCATTCCATTCCTCAAAAGCGTTCAACAGCTGTTGTAATCCTGTCCACCTATTAAAAAAACACGGGGGCCCCCCTATTAAGAGAAACTCGGTCGCATTTTTTGGAATAGGGGGTCCCTGAAATCGGGGTCCAAAATAGGGTCACCTGGGAAGAGCTTCAAAACCGAAAAGTTATCCAGAAAAGTTTTAAAATATCATAAAATACGTTAAACTCGTATCACAAATTCAAAAAACCTCCAGATCGAAGGGTCTTCCTTTTCCCCTACAAAAACCTTTATTAGAATACGGATTCTTCATTAGACTAACAACCAAAGCTTTCGAAAGGTGATGTTTGGAACCCAATAGAAGACACTACCCCCAAAATCGACCATGTTGGTAGTTTAGTAGCGGCTTGAAAGGGCGGCAACTTAAAAACAAATATGAGCCGAATTTAGGGCTTCGGACGTGGTGTTTTTTTTAAGTTGGGGAGGCTTTTTAAATAGGTGCTCGGGATTGTGTTTTCCACTGAACGAGTTTTCATGTCGCGACAGACGTTGAACAGCCCCAAAATGCCCAAAAAGCATCCCCATCCTGCGCCACCATAGGGACCCATCCTTGCCCATCCCTCAACTTCTCATCTCCGGAGCTCCCCATCCCCATCCTTGCGCGTCTCGGGCAGCCCGGGCGAGGCAGAACAGTTCCAGGAGGCCTTCAAGGCCCCCGTGGGCCCCGTGAAGAGCCGCAGGGCGCTCTGGGAGCGAAAAAGCGGTCTGAAAGCCTTCTGGGAGCGTCCAGCCCCTGGAGATACCCTCTGACTCACTAACATGGAAGTGGAAAATGACCTCTTGGAAGACTACTTTCCTTTTCAAACAGGGTGTTTTCCACTTCCATGTGATGTGTTCGTCGGAGTGTAGTGCTCCTGAGCCGCACAAAGGTTTTTTGTTCATGTTTGTTTGGTCATGAGTTGGTGCGTCCAGCGTCCCAGCACTTCTTCAACGAAAAGGGCACTTGCCCAGGCCCCCATCCTATTTGAGAAGCATTGAGAAGCGGTGTTTGGTTTGTAAGGACCATTTGACCTGAAAAGGCTTGGACACCCGTCCCGACACAGCACAACAGGAAACAATTCATGGTTTAACATGCTGACACTTACATCCCAGCTTCCCAGTGGTCTGCATCGCATCTCCGGTCGTTTCCGATCATCAGAGTCGTATCAGTACCCAGACACTGCCCCTACACCTGTCGTACCTCCTCAGGTTCGGTATGACTGGACCCGACCCTGGCACCCGGGCCCCCAGTCCCACAGAACCGCTACATACGCTACATACCGGGGTGGTGCCAGGGGGGGTTAGACTCTGGGGGCGGCAGTCCGCCAGTCCCATACAGGTCGTGTCTGGGGGACCGGGGAGAAGGTGTTTTGCACCAGGCAACAGTTCTAAAGAAGTTCAGCTGAGGAACATCTTTGGCTCAGTCAGGGCTTTGGGGGGGCCAGACATGCTGGTCATGCAGTTCCTCGAACGCCGAACTTGCAACAGGTGGACTATTACGGTCGCGACATCCAGTGAGTTCGGGTCCCCCAGATGGACAGACCGTCGGTTAGAGGGGGGAACGAAGGACACGTTCATCAGATCACCGCTGCTTCGGTGAAATGGCTCGAACGACCAGGTCGTTCTTTAAGGTAGTTGGATCCAAACAAATGGGTTTCTTAGGTTGTTTCCTCCACCTGGCCTACCCTTTTCATTCCTTTTCGAGGTATACACCAGTAAGTTACTACGTAAGTGTTTACAGTTTACACCAGTCATGGACGTTTCATGCTCAACTGACGATGCTGAGCATCCAGGTCCAGAACGGTATCCGTCATTGGTCCGGCTAGGTTCAATGTTTTAACACCCAAAAACATCCAAAAACAATTTTTGGAAAACAAGGAAACAGAAGGAAATCCAGAAGGAAACAGATGCTACCCTTTGGACCGGTGACTACTTTGGTCTTTGGTTTCATCAGGCTTGTTTGCACACGTGGTAGACACAAAAACTGCCATGGCAGAAGTGAGGCGAGAGAAGTTGGCGGAACTCGAAATTCGTCAACTGGGCCCTTTTCGCAGAGCGTTATTGTTCTGAGAGGGATCCTAGCAAGTGAGCATCAATCGTAGACAATGGGTGGCTTCAGGGGCTCATGTATTACAGTATATACTGTACATTCCATCATATGTACTATGTTACTATGTCTACTATATTTCATCATATGTCAATTCCATATAATTCCATGAAGAGTTTGGCAGGGCCAATGTGTTTTGGACCTGCTGCATCTCTCGTTCTCTCATCGATTCCTTCGCCGGCTCCCGGCTCCGTTGGCAGGTACGGATCCGTGGAGAAGAGCCGCGACCCGGCGGCCCCGTGACGTGCGGCGACTCCGAGACGCCGGTCGTATTGGAAGGCATTGGGTAACTAAGCCCCCGTGTTCCTTTGTCCGGGAGATTGGCATGCCGGGTGCGTTGAGTTGTTCCGGCAAAGTGGACACTTGAAACGAAGATCAAACTCATGATGGGCCTTGAGTCTTTTGAACCTTGAAAGGTCTTGAGGCTGGGTTTTGTCCAGTTCTTTGTTTTCACTATGACTTGTATTTCCAGGATTTTTCCAGGGGGTCTCCTGGCATCGCTACTATGTAAACATAAAGTACGTATGATGCAGCTGGATCCTGCAGGAGCTTCTCCGAAGCATGCTGGGATAGATGGTCTTCCAGGGGCTATGCCATCGTATGCCATCCTCTTCAATTGTTGGAGCGTATATTAGGCGTTGTTATGGTAGTAAAATAGTTGATGGAGAAAAAATACTGGGGAAAACCCCACCCCAGCCACCACCACCACGACGACAGCCGCGGCAGCAGCAGCCACAGCAAGAGCCACTGCGGCGCTGCTGGCGGCACCGCCTGGCAGCCAAGATTCAAGAGAGATGGGACTTCGTTTCACAGGGTCTGTGGGAAGGGTGGATGTTGGAGCAGGTGCCCTTTCAAATCTCAGCACACCCATTTTCCATCATACTTCCATCAAATCATCACTGGCCCTTTGGCCACCCCATCGCATCCTGGATCCCCTCAACGATCTTGCTTACCAATGCCACCGGCCACGCGTTGCCACAAGCACCCATCAGCTTCCTCAACTGACATTCAATCAGTGGCCAATATTGGCAAATTGAACGTGACAAGCAACTTGAACTCAAAGCCAACCAAGTTTCGCAGAAGAGATGTCCATCTCTTTGGCGCACGCCGCCAAATCATCCGGCAGACCCATGAGCCGAAGGCACTCCTTAAGTTTTCAACATGCAAAATGAAAGACATCCAATAAATCACCTGTGGATGAACAAGAGGTGCGTTGGGCTTAAGCAAAATGACAAAATGAAGTGGCAGGCCAGGGAGCTACAGCATTCAAGGGACGCTCCAAACGGGTGAGCCAGAATCCACCTGAACTCGCCCTCGTCCTCGTGAGACATGGAGCAATGTCCCTTTTGGGCTTGCACTGGAACTTCACCGATGCACCAATGTCCACCAGCCTCAAGTAAGACACAATAGGAGATTGAAAGACAGTTGGTAGTCCCAAACAATTATTGTTCACAAGGTGGACTTCTTGTCATTGGTTGACCAACTAAGTTAAAGACCACACTTGCTTCTTAGGATCACCGCCCAGCTTGGCAATCCTCCGCTCACCAATCTTGAGCATTTTGGATGCATGCTTTGAAAGGGCACCTGAATCAAGCTAGGCACCTAAATTAAACTTGGGGCAAAGAATTCACAACAAGCCTGGATTTGCAATAAGAGTTTAGCCTGGAGACTGCGGGCATTCTTCTTTCCAAAGGTTCGACATAAGAGCGATCGAAATGAAGTTCGCTTGGATGAAAACTTTGGCCACTTGAATGACTTCCTTGATTCAACAGTTTTCAAAAAAGATCTGTTGATCTGTTTGTTGACACCAAGTTTCTTCTTGTTCTTCTTCCTGAGCGCCACCAGAAACAATCGTCGGCGTGATTGGGCCATTCCAAAGTCCTGGGTTGAAAGTTGAACACACAAGCAACTAATTAGTTCATGGTTTCACACCACAACCAAGAAACCCTTCTTAAAAGACCAGACTCAGCCGCATTGAGAATTGCAGGATGGATGTCATAGTATGGTGTACCATCAGCTTCTTTGATCCCCTTGAGCCTCAGACTAATAGAATGGTTCCTGAGGGGTTAGATACTTACTACCCATGTTTAAAATTTAAGTCCAGGGACGTTGTGATCCACTTGTCATAGATGGACCTTTTCAGCTTCTTGTTGCGAACCACATGTGGGACCTGCTCCACCAATGCTGCTTCTGGCCGCTTGGCCTTGATATAATCAAAGCATGCCACCATGCATCCTGTACGTGGGTCTTCCTTAGATGCTTAATTGGCATAATGGCACCAATCCCTGAACAACTTGTGAACACATCGTGCAAGGGTTCAAGCAAGATTCCAGACCTCGTTTTTTGCCAGCCACAGACACACCTTGACATGGCGGCCCTGCTCCATAGAGATGCACCCTGGGCATTTTGTTGACATTCCTTTTTGTAGCATCCTTGGTCAGTTAAAGCTCAGAACCAAAGTAAAGTGTTGAGGTGTCCCTGAAAAATACATGTTCCAAAGTTAAAATGTTGAACATCCCTGAATCCAAGAGTCACTGAACACAACCTTGGGGGAATGGACCCGTCCAGCCATCAGCCTCAAGGCATTGTCCTTCTCGCTCAAGAACTCCAAGCTGTACGGGATCTTAGATTTCCTCAGATGATGGGCAGTTGGTTGGGGTGTCATTTGAAACACTTCCATGATCATTATAGTTCAAGTTGAATGGCACCACCAAGCATCGTGAGAGCCCAGCTCAAACATTCTAATCCAGAAAAGTCTGATCCGATCTTGATTTTCATTGGCATGGCCGTGACACCAGCGCGGACTTGGTTGTTTCGTTTTCTTCATACACATCCGTGGTACTGCCTGGTGACATGCTATATGTTTATTAATTGTCCTTGCAAAAATGCTTCACACAAAGCAGTGGCCCATGAAGCCCATGAGGTCTGCACGACCTCCAGAGCCCCCACGCTGATTTGAACATAGACGGTGTCATCAATCCATAGTGCTGCTCAACCAGCATGGTACCACAAGTTCAAGTCAGTACGGCGAGTGAGACGATTGAGATTTTTCTGGGAACCTTCGATGATGATCATCAATCGGTGCTCTCACCGACGAGTGGCTTCTAAGACTAAGATTGTGAGAGGCCAGCCAGGAATCTGACTCACATGGACTCTTGCACAGTGTCTTTTCATGGTTTGTTGCTTTGAAGGTCAGACTCCCTCCTGAGAGCTCCCATTCAACTGCACCCAACGTCACAGACATGTCATGGTGCAAGCAAAAACCGACTGGCCACCAGTGACCCCTTGAGTGAATCGGACATATCTATAGTTTTATTTTCAACATTGAGTAATGAACCAGATAGTCTTTCACATGTCAAAATTGTTGAATTGGTTGAGTTGAACTTTGAATCCAACAATGGAAACATTCTTTAAAAGGAGCTCACTCAACCCACCACCACTGGTTGGCCGGCCCTTCAATGCCGCATGCCGCTCAGGTCACTCGACCCCCACCATCTTCCGCAGCTTTGAAGCTGCTGATCCACCAGGCTCATCCTGGGAAGCATGATCTGTGGGGGGGAAGACGAGGAGGCTTCCAAGAGTCCAGAAACATGGTACTTAATAAATGGTTTAATACGGCTTAGGCTAAAGAATTGAAAATCTTGTTTAATAAAGACTTGGATCCTGCGGTGCTGCTTCCTTTACTCTCTTGCCCCTTGACTTTGCTTTGGCTTTGGGCTTCACCTCAAGTGGTTCACCTTCCTCGGCTGTCTCACCCTTCTTCTTCCTCGGCTTCCTTGGCTTCTTTTCAGGTTGATGCTCCTCACCTTTCTTGCCCTTCGCTTTGGCGGATGCCCTGCCTTTAGCTTTGGCCTTCGCCTTTGCTTTTGCCTTTGGTTTAGGCGTGGGATCCATGATGCCCTCGACTGGTCCTGGTCCTCATCATCCAGGAATTTGGGTGTCCCCTGATCATCATCATCCTCGAACACCACTTCTGGCAACTCTTCCTCTGGTTCCTTTTCCTCCTCCGGCTTCTCAGCTTCTTCAACCTCTGCATCTTCCTCCAATTCCTCATCCTCCGGACCGTCTTGATCATCTTCATCATTGCCATCCTTGTTGTTCTTGTCCAGCTTCTTGAGATCAGCAATGACCTTCACGAGCTCGGGGGAGTGGAGGGGATCCCTGGCATCCTGCATAGAAGCAAAGGCCAAAGATTCCAGCCGTGCTGTGAGTTCATCGACCTCAGATGTGATTACAATCACCTGACCTTGTGTTAATTTCAAATCAGTATGATGCAAACATCTCCCAAATCAAGGAGCATGCTTCTCTGTAAAACAGAGGCCGATATATGGCAAATTGCGGCGGATTGCAATCATCGCAAGGTTGCCACAGCCTAAATGTTAAATCAAGCATTTAAAAAACACTAACCCAGTCAGCCAGACATGATTTAAACAAATGTAGCTGAGGAGCCAGGGGTCAGATCGTTTATGGCACCGATGGCATGGGAAGCAACAAGTTCATCGTCAAGATTGTATGGACCAGCATGGAAAAATACCGGCTCCACCGTTGTGTCACTCTTTCGACCTGTCACACCACCACTCAAAACATACAAAATTAAGAAACGCCTGAATGAACGAAGAATGGTTCAATCCTTTTCCCACCTCCACCGGTGTCACCTTCCGGGCAAGCACCGCCCACTGCAATGCGGTGCTTGTCATAGAGCAATCGTTTGTCCTTGACGCTCCTTGATCGGCTTGAAGTCCAGTGTGATTAAGTTTAAGATACACCATTGGCAATGTAGTTTACTAGTTGAATTGAGGAATGAGATGACAGAAAGCTAACGCTAAGCAGCAGTTTCCAGCACTTCTTGTCATCGAAGCTCGGCATGACGACACCATAAATGGTGTCACCACGGTTGGATCCTGGATAGTGGCACCTGTTGACAAGCATACTGGTAACATACTGGATCAAAAAGAACAGCACAAACTCTTCCATGTCAAGCCTGCTCTTTCTGATCACTTTGCAGCTGGTCGGGGCCATGAGCATGTAGATATTCTCGCACTGTTTCACGAGTGAAACCACACCTTTCACCCTCTCCTGAGACATGATTTGTGAAAAATGGGTTTGGTGAAAAAGTGTGACAACACCCATGACTCAGGAAGTAAGTTGTGAGGCATTAAAAATATGGTCAAGGATCCTTTCTCTTCATCAGTGATGCCTCATCATACACCACTGTGAGAATCCTTTCAGTCTTTTGTATTGGCTGGTCATCGCGTCGAAGATTGATCAACTGGCTCCGGTTGCCTGAAAAACCAGTGGATGTAATGAACCTAATGGCTTAGCTGAAAAAAACATGTGGACCCTTCCTTGTCGCCCTCCATCATTCATGAAGAATACATCGGATTCATTCCATG